CCCAGTGCCATTAGTACAGTGTCAGTGCTTTTTATTAGCACCAATCACTGTATTGGTGTCACTGGGGATGTCAGTGACACCAAGTCAGTTCTCCCCAGTGTCAGAATGCCCACCGCAGTCCTGCTATAAGTCGCTGATTGCCGCCATTACTAGTAAAAATAAAAAAATCCCAGTACATATTCCGCCATTTGTCCACGCTATAACTTTCATGTAAACCAATTAATTTACATGTATTGGGATTTTTTTTAGCAAAGACATGTAGCAGAATACATTTTGACCTAAATGTATGATGAAATTTGATTTGTGAAATTTTTTACTGGACATGTTTAATAGCAAAAAGTCAAAAATATAGTTTTTTTTCTCAAAATTGTCGATCTTTTGTTTTTATAGCAAAAAAAAATTAAAAACTCACAGGCGGAATGCCATGTGTATTGTATTTCTACTGCTTGCCATAAGTTTGCCTTTTCTTATGTACCTTGCTTAGGTATACTTTTGTATGATTTCAATAAACGCAACTGTTAAAAAAAAAAAAAAAAAAAAACGCACAGGTGATCAAATACCACCAAAAGAAAGCTCTATTCGTGGGAAAAAAGGATGTTAATTTCATTTGAGTGCAGCGTTGCATGACCGCGCAATTCTCGGTCAAAATAATGCAGAGCCATAATGCAAAAAATGGCCTGGTCAGGAAGGGGGGTAAATCCTCAGAAGGGCAAGTGGTTAATTGCCAGCCAGAAAAACTAAAAACAAACCTACTTTCATACTATTCTCCCCAGTCTGTGCCCCCTTCCCTGACCTCTCCATCAATATCAATAATACAACCATCAGTCCCTCCCCTCATGCCAGGGTACTAGGTGTAATCCTAGACTCCCATCTGTTCTTTCACCCCCAAATCCAATCACTGTCCAAATTATGTAGACTTCACCTCCGCAACATCTCCAAGATACGCCCGTTCCTAACCTCGGAAACCACTAAGCAACTTATTCACTCCCTTGTTATATCTCGCCTTGTCTTTTGTAACTCCCTCCTCATTGGCCTACCTCATCGCAGGCTATCCCCTCTTCAGTCTATCATGAATGCTGCTGCTACACTCATCCACCTTACTAACCGTTCTGTATCTGCCACCCCTCTCTGCCAATCCCTCCACTGGCTTCCCATTGCCCAACGGATACAATTCAAAACAATAACAATAACAATAACGTATAAAGCCATTTATAACTCTGCCCCAAATTACATCACCAATCTTGCCTCCAAATATCACCCAAACCGTACTCTCCGTTCCTCACAGGACCTCCTGCTCTCTAGCTCCCTTGTTTCCTTCTCCCATGCTCGTCTCCAGGACTTCTCCAGAGCTTTCCCCATCCTCTGGAACTCTCTACCCCAATTTATCAGACGATCGCCTACTCTGCTCACTATTAGGCGATCTCTGAAAACCTATCTCTTCAGGGAAGCCTATCCTGCCCTCAGCTAATACTGGAATCTTTTATTCCTCCTACCACTCCATCCCCCACAGTTATTATCTTTTGTACCACTAGCCCCTCCCTCTTAGATTGTAAGCTCCAAGGAGCAGGGCCCTCCTATCCCTCTTGTATTGTTGCTGTATTGTCTCCCTTTATATTGTAAAGTGCTGAGCAAACTGTTGGCGCTATATAAATCCTGTATAATAATAAATATTACTTTCAAAACTGTTCTATGACGATCTTTCCATTCATTATTTGTACATATGTTTTCTGCTACATCTTGCTTATCACCTGTTTGTACACAAGCAAAGCTTTGAGACAGGCGGTGGCCAAAACGCGTCAGTTTCATGGATTTTATATCTTCTACTGTGTGCAAGTAAAGACATTATGATGAAGAAATGAGTTGCCAGCTATATTGCTACATATTCTGTTTCTACGCAAGGCCTTTATTGTGCTTGGGAGAAGATGAGGACAACTGCTGATCTGATTTAGCCCGCGTTCACATATGTGTGGTGCGATACATCGCATGTGATTCCCACAGGAACCGCACCACATTCCTGTGTGAATTTAATGCGATTTGTGTGCGGTGCAATCGGAGCCATACCTTTTGTATGGCTTTAATCGCACCGCACCCACACCAAAAATGTGCAGGACCCTTTTTTGGGTCTGCCCTAGAATCAGATCGCATGGGTATTCACACCAATGCGATCCGATTCTGCACATCGCACCACGTTTTGTGGACTGCTTTCGGGGTGTTGTTAACTTAACATACACACCCGCAGTGGTTTGAATGAATGGGGTGCAATTCTGATGCAGTGCGGAATTCGCACAGAAAACATTGTGAATTCCGCACCGCATCAGTGTGAACCAGGGCTTAGTCTCATTATTTCAGGCTTGCATTTGAAATAATCCGGTTTCGTAAGCAGCTCTGTTTCTCTAATACTACCTTAACCACTTCCTGTCTAGTCCATGTATATAAACGGCCGGATGGGAGCAGTGCAGGAGCAGGTTGCGCCCACCTTTTTATCCTGTTCGCGCTCCCTGGGTGTCTGGAGGACACCGATCACTGAACGGGACCTCTGTGTGAGGTCCTGATCATGTGATCACTGATTGGCCAATCAGTGATCACATGAATAGTAGTTAGCAAGATGTCACTTCTGACATTGCTTACTACATATGAAATCTGTGAATGCTCACAGAGATCACATGGTACAAGGCTATTCACAACAGCCATGTACCATGTGACAAACTGAACAATCACAGCTCTCACAGTATTTCTCAATGGCTGCAAGAATGCAGTCAGAGAGAAGGAGAAACTATTGCTTTTCCAGCCTTTATGGGTGTAAAAGCAATCAGTGTAAAAAAAAGAAAAAAAAAATCTTCATCACCCCCCACAATCAGTACAGTGTCACTATGGTTTTGTTAAAAAAAACATAAATAATAATATAATAAAATAAAAATGTAAAAAAAAAATTTTAAATTAGAATTTTTGGTTATCAACTAATTTTGGGGTTTTTTTTACTAAAAAGATAACTGAATAAATGTTGGCCAAGATTTATGAAGAAAGATTATTTATTTGCAAAATTTTATAAGAAGAACACTTTTTTTCAAAATTTTTGGACATTTTCATTTATATAGCAAAAAAAATAAAAATCCCAGTGGTGAATAAATACCACCAAAATAAAGTTTTATCTGTCTCAAAGAAATGCTACAAAATGCATATGCGTACAGTGTTGCATGACTGTGCAATTGTCATTCAAAGTGTGACAGCGCTGAAAATTGGCCTGGACAGGAAGGGGGTAAAAGTGCCTGGACTTGAAGTGGTTAATTATTACTATAACTAAAATCAGTCTCATTGTCTTAACTAGACACTAGAAATGATTTTGGGAGCATCAGCGTTGTCATGTTAATGACAATAACTGATTCATTCTGCTTCTTGGGAAATCGGTTTCAGTGGTTAATATGAGCACAGATTGTGCTTAGAACTAATGATAATGCATTTAATTGGCAGTCTTCGTCTAAGTTGCGTGATGGTAGAATATACAGAGTGTGTGTGGTGTCTCACGGATGTAACACTACTTCTGTGTGGGTATCATACTCAACAAAAATGTGTTCTGCTTTTAAAGATCTGGGAGCTTGCCAGTGACCTATTTCTATAGGAAAACACCTTAGGGTATTGGCCTCTGTATGTAGCTTCTGATCAAAGCTCACATCCTATTGCAATGTTTATTACTTTCCTTAAGGGAAAGTAGACAGTAATGAGCAGTGAAGAGGCGGAAGATGCATATCAGAGGCAAGTAAAGACATTCACGTTCAGATATAGGTGGTGTTTACCGATATAGATTTGTGTGCTCTCACCACATTGCATGTTAATAACTGAACTCCAGGCAGATCTAAAACACTGATCATTTTGACACTTCCGTGCTATAATATATTAGGCTTGGTTCACATATGTGCAGGGTGGTGCTGCTGTGGATTCGTACGAAAATCTGCACACAGGAATGCGGACCCGCGGGCAGGTGCCATTACTTCTAATGGCACGCCGCCATCACTGGAAAACGCAACCGTACTGGGAACCGAGGTTCCCGTACGGGCTGCGTTTTCAGAAGAAGTGCAGGGACTTCTTCCCTGCATGTCATGGGCACGGGAGTCCATTCAAATGAATGGGGTCTTCTGCCCGCGCCAAACGCAGCCCACATGGCCACATATATGTGAACCAGGGCTAAATGACACACATAAATTGATACAAAGAAGCAGCCACCACAGTATTGCAGGCAACAACACATAAATAAAACACAGAGCTGCAGCGTGTCGGATGATCACAACAAAATAAAGGAAAATATATAAAATTAAAGTCTACTGGTGTCTGGTATAGATAGAGTCAGACGCCTATTTGCTGGAATAGTAATGATGTCATATAAATTCCAAAAAAAAAGTTCCAATAAGTTGGGAGAGTCCACCATCACCCACACACCCCAAAAAAATGCAGACCATAATGACCCCTCAATTGAGTATGGGTCAAAAAGCACAGTACAGATTCCAAAAGTAGGCTGTGAACCCGAACACTTTTTGGCTCCAAAGGACAAACTGGCCCCCAGGTATTGAATGGAGGAAACGCCTACTGGATCACGTGCAAGAAACTGCCATTCAAAGAACAAGAGAAATCCTCATAGTGTAATGTATTCAAAAGGATTTATTGCCTTAAAACGTGGTATTAAACGTACATCAAAGAAAAAGTAAAAACAGCATGTCACCAAATATCCCAATGGTATGTTTCAAACCCATAAGATGGCCACCACGTTCTGGTACGGTCTGATGTCACGCGCTTTGGCCCCTCCGATTAAAATATTTGTTTATGTATTCATTAACAGCTTACCCTCCACCCTATAGCAGAAATACTGCAACAGGGCAGCAGGGGTGTGCAAAATCACATATATATACATGATTCTGTATTTCTGGGTAGGGGGTGCGCGCACGCCCTACCCGCGTTGCCATTCACGGCCTTGCCTGTCAATCACCTGGTCCCGGCTGGTGATCACTTACCGGCGATCTCTGAGGATTACTGATGGGGCGATACCTGTATGTAAACAATACAGATCTCTCCCCTGTTAGCTCCTGCACACTGCTTTGTATGGCTCTGCATAGACTTGTGGGTGGCTTTATTGTTAGTATTTAGAATTGTGAGCAGAAGCCAGTGGAGGGATTGGATTAGAGAGTTGAAGGGCACTGCATGTTTGGTAAGGTTGATAAGCCTGGCAGCAGTATGCATGATAGACTGAAGTGGGCACAGCCTGTGTCAAGGTGGGCAAGCAAGAAGGGGGTTAAGGCGAGAAATAACAAGGGAGTGAATTTGAAACTTTTAGGTGTCATTTGTTATAAAGGGCACAATCTTGGAAATGTTGCGGAGATAAAGGCAGCGAGATCTGGCCAGTGATTAAACTTGGATTAAACTAGCACTCTGGCCAGATGGGAGGAAATAACTGCACTGCTGTGGATCTTGATGGAGAAGTTGAGACAGTAGTCTTTCAAATACACTTTTAAGTATCTAATCAATTAAAAGTGAGCCTTTCCATCTTTTTTGGATGTAAAAGTACTGGCATTTCCATAATTTTCTCCATCAGCTGTATCAAATTAACTTCTTCTGCCCCAAAAACATACAGTGCATTTATTACCAACTTAGACTGTTCTGTAGTAATGTATGGGTTGGCAGGAGGAAGCACAGAGGGCAGTGGGGGAAACAGGAGATGGACACTCTTGGAAGTGTCAGTTCGTGAAGAGACTTTGGGGGATGATTACTTTTCAATGGAGCTGTGTCCAGTGGTACAGTCAGAAAAGGTATTTACAATCTTTTTTTAAATTTCATCTTGTATTCTTACTTTTATTCAAAGAGTGTAACTTTAAATGGATATTTTGTTAATCGATTACACTGGTAAGTTATATGTTAAATGGTTCCTATTTGGCAGGAGTTTCTGAAAAACATTGGCAAGGGAAAGTGTTGCTTTAAGGCACCTAATTCTCCATTTAATTATACTTGACGTTTTTGGCAACACAGGTGGCACTGTGATTTGCTATGACTGTGGGTGATTTTGTATCTTTAACTTTAAAGTATTTTATATAAATCTCCAAATCGGAGCCAGCAAATACAATGTAAAGAAGAATTTTATATATCTAAGTGATCAAAAAAACAAGGCAAAAGCAGGGCTGTGGTGGTCCTTACCCACTCAAAGCACCACCTCTTTCCGTCTGCCCTATAGCAGAAATACTGCTACAGGGCGGCACTGGTGTGCAAAATCACGTATATATACGTGGTTTTGCAGTTCTGGGTAGGGGGTGCGCACAGGCCCTACCTGCGCCGCCTTCCGTGGCCTCGGCTGTCAATCACCGAGTCCTGGCCGGTGATTACTCACCAGCACCCGGTGATCGCCCAGTATTACCGGCAGGAGAGAGAACTGTATGTAAGCAATACAGTTCTCCCCTGTCAGCTCCTGCACACTGCTTTGTATGGCTCTGCATAGCACAGCCATACAAAGCAGTATGCTTACAGTTGAAAGCACACACAGCAAATAATGTGAAACAGCACACAGTTAACCCTTTGATCGCCCCACATGTTAACCCCTTGTGGAGAGTGTCAGTGCTTTTAATTAGCACTGATAACTGTATTGGTGTCACTGGGGATGTCAGTGACACCAAGTCAGTTCCCTCCAGTGTCAGAATGCCTGCCGCAGTCCTGCAGTCCCCCTATAAGTTGCTGATTGCCACCATTACTAGTAAAATAAAACATTCCAGTGTACTGTATATACTGCCATTTGTAAACGCTATAACTTTCATGTAAACCAATTAATTTCCACGTATTTTGATTTTTTTTTTTATCAAAGACATGTAGCAGAATACATTTTGTCCTAAATTTATGATGACATTTGATTTTTTAATTTTTTTTATTGGACATGTTTAATAGCAAAAAGTCAAAAAGTCAAAAATAGTTTTTTTCTTAAAATTGTTGATTTTTTATTGTTTATATAATAAAAAAGAAAAACCACAGGTGATCAAATACCACCAAAAGAAAGCTCTATTTGTGGGGAAAAAAAGGACATACATTTCATTTGGGTGCAGCGTTGTATGACCGTGCAATTGTCAGTTAAAGTAATGCAGCGCCATAACGCAAAAAATGGCCTGGTCAGGAAGGGGGGTAAATCTTCTGGAGGGCACATGGTTACCCACTCAAAGCGCCACTCATTCATAGTTATTATAAGGTTAGCTACTATTTGGAAATACAATAGCATGTATCTCATAAACATTTAATCTATAAAATAAGGTCTGTTGGAGTTGATGAAATTATATGTACTTGGATAGTAAACTGGTTACATGAACGGGCCCATATAGTGGTGGTAAATGACTCAGTCTTGGAATGGTCTATGATTGATATGTCTCAGGGTTCTGTCTCAGGGTTCTGTCTCGGGGCTAATGCTGTTCAATTTGTTTATTAATGATACAGAGGTTGAAATCAGGAGCTCGATTTCAGTGTTTGCTGATGATACCAAATTGTGCAAGGAAATAACTTTGCCACTGGATATAACATCATTACAGGAAGAAATTGACAACATAGGGGGTTGGGCAGTTACATGGCAGATGAGGTTCAATATTGAGAAATGTAAAGTTATGCATTTTGGTGCCAAACATCTACATGCAAAATACACATTACGAGTGGCTTTCCTGGGGAAATCAATGATGGAAAAGGATATTGGGGTGCTTGTATATCACAGATTTAGCAATAGGACACGATGCCAAGCCACAGCCAACAAAGCAGGGTGGATAAAAATCAATGATTTTTTTTAAAAAATCAAAAAAATTGGATTTTTTTAATTTAAATCGGATTTTTTTTTGATTTAAATCAAATTTTTTTGATTTAAATCGGATTTTTTTAAATAAAATGCTTTTTGAGGAAAATATATTACCATCCAAAGGTTATTCCATCATGAAATAAAGATTAGTTTTTTTAATTATGTAGAATAAGGCTGTATATGTTTAATTGTTTTGGTAAATAAATTCCATTAATCCATTCACAATGTCATGCTCTTCCAGAGGTTTTTGTAAGATTATTGGGCAGTTTCTCTGCCTACAAGATATTATCACAGATGCTTGGTTTACTTTTGCAGTTCTCAAAACTGAATTTGACTCAGAGGAGATCACATGCCTCTTCTTCACAGCAAAAATGTTATAACATGAACAGAGTTAAGAATAAGACCTTAATCCTAACTTCTACAAACCTATGAATACAGAATCAACCCCTTCAGTGCTTAAGTTTCAAGAAGTTCAGTGAATAGAATAGAAAGAATATTTTTCTGATTGTTTGGAGTGGAATAGATCTGCACAAGAAGAAAGTGAAGCTAAGTGTGAGGAGGAAGGGGCTGACAGTCTAAATTTCTTAAAATATATATATTTTGTTTAGCCAAATTAGTTAACAAACATGGATGTTTGTTTAAGCAAATAACATATGCTGGGATGTTATTGTTTCACTTGAATAAATCTATTTAAATTGTTATTATTAAGGGAATGATTATTTTTCTCCTTCCTAAGTACAACAGAAAAGTTGTCCAAATATGAATGATTAACCTATTAAACTGGAGATAAAAAAACTAATATGAAAAGTTGTTATTCTAAAAATCTTCATCTACTTGCATATTAAAGTTATACCAGCAAGAATTAGTCTATGTAGAAAACTATGATTTAAATCAAGCCTTACTGACTAGCGATATAAATCGTGATTTAAATCAGTTTGATTTAAATCAAATCCACCCTGCAACAAAGCCAGCAAAATACTGTCATGCATCAAAGTAGGGTATAGATTCAAGAGATATATCAATAATTCTACCCCTTTACAAAAGGTTGGTTTTCCCTTATCCTGAATATGCAGTTCAGTTTTGGTCACCAATTGTCAGATAAGATGTTGTTGAATTAGAAAGAGTTCAGCGAAGGGCAACAAAAATGAATGAGGCGGGTAAAGGACCTCAGGTATGAGCATTGATTACACAGATTGCAGTTATTCACTTTGGAGAAAAGGCACTTGAGGGGATATGATTACAATCTACAAATATATCAAAGGTGACTTCAGTAACTGTATTAAACTGTTTACTCTAAGGTCCTAAGGAGGACATGAGACCACAGTTTGAGGTCAAAAGAAAAGAGAGGTTTTAACCGTAGATTGCGAAAAACGGTTCTTTACTCACAGACCAATACAAATGTGGAACTGCCTTCCCCAAGTGGTACTAGCTGAGAGTACTGAGATGTCTTGAGTGTACTGAGTGCTGAGATGTCTTCCTTGGGAAGCAGAATATGCAGGGCTATGGAAATTGTTAGAGAATAAAAAAAAAATCAAACACACACACGTTCTTTTTTTTTTTTTTCTACCTTATAAAGATTTTAACTATGGAACTGCAATACTGTGACATGTTATATCTATACTTCCTGACAGTAACTTGCCTAATGGTGGGTGACAAAAGGGAAAATAATTCCTACGCCATTCACAAGTATAAAGTAAGCTTAGATCTTTCCGGCTGTTTCAGGGGAAAGGGACATTTGTCATGTTATAGGAGAGGGGGGCATTTTTTCATAAAATAAAACATCTAATGCCACCTGTATAAAATTCTAGTAAACTTTGTATCCTCTGGAGAAGCACTCAACCAAAGAGGACTAGTGGGTTACATGCACTAGTAGAACCCCTCCAACTCCATCCTGAACACAAATTTACAGACAGCACTAGGTGTACAAGGTGGCTACGTCACATATGTAAAAAACCAGGATGACTAGCATATGTCAGTAAACATATCTGGACCTAAAGAAAGACTTCACCTGGCTATAAGTCATTAAAACCCACTTCCAGCCAAGGCTTTTAATTTTGTTTTTGATAGAGTGGGATGAGAGCCTCTGTCAGCTGTTTTTTGCTGTCTGTGTCACTACTGGGGAGATGTCACTCTAAGGGCTTATGTACACGGGGCGTTTGGAAAACTCTTCTGAATGATGGAAACTGACTGCTGGAAAACATAGGTTAAAAAACGTCAGTTTAGCCACGTTTGCATACCGCGTTTATGTGCGTAGAAGCATTTTTAAAAGAGAACCTCAGGACACCCTCCCAAATGCCCAGAATGCACTGAAAAATAGTAAAAAATTAACTATTTCAGACATTTTGAGAGGAATAGAGAGCAGAAGCAGAGAGAGCAGTATGTGTTAAGACCTGTCTTTTCTAGTTGTATTCACTATGGATCACATCATGAGCATAATGCGGCACGTTCTACCATTATTTCCTTAACGCGAAACCTGGAACTGACTGCGCTGGTGTACTGGGTCCATTTGAATACATGGAAAATGATTTGCATGCATTTCTGGTGATGAAAAAAGGCTCTGAACAGCATTGGGACATGTAACAGTTAAAAAACGTGTTTAAATGCAAACGCTTATAAACGAGGTTAACCGCCTTTACAAGCATTTGGTGTTTGAAACGCCAGTAAAATCTACTCCTGAATGCAATTTTGGGGCGTTCAAAAAAACTACTGTAAACTCAACTGCCTTTAAACAACTGTAAACGACTGTGTGTACATGGACACATAGGAAAACATCAGGGAGAGTTCAGGGGCTGCTGAAAAAAAACAGCTCCTGAACGTAAGTTTAGGAGCTGCAGTGTATATGAACCCTTATTGCCTGTCAGGCCAGGAAGTAATGGAAAATACCTTCAAGAAGCACACAGACAAAACACATTCACAGTGACGCAAGGAAGGGTTAAACCTTCTGTCCATGTTTTTTATGCCTCTGGTGACAACTGCACCCTTATTGCTATAGGTTTTAATATAAATTAAGAAAAAACTCCCCAATGAGGGTCAAAAACAGAGAATAAGACCTAAAATAATAGTAAAATAAGTGAGCGCTATAATGATCACAAGCAGCCAAAGCACCAAAAAGGCAAACCAAAAAACCTTCAATATAATCAAGGACAAAAAATGTGGCGCTGAAGTAACAAATAACAAAGTTCAGATATAAATGCACACATAAATTGCACTCAATCCCAATGTGGATACAAAGTGACAAAAATGCAAAATGCAAAGCTAACAAGTGATGATGGTGTGCACTGACAAAGTGCTAGGTGTTAATGCACATACACAGTCCTGAAAACAGTTCATAAAAAGTGCTTATAATTTCCTAATTCTTCTATGTGGAATTGATAGCCCCTGCGTGGGCATGATTTGTTGCTCCTGTGTTAAATGTTAATGACCATTGAAATACAGAAAAGTGCTTAAAAGTGATGATCCATCTGAGGGGATCTCAGGTAGGTGCTCTTTACAACATCCTGGTGACGTGCCGTGAAATTGTTAGCAATACGCACTCATACGCACATACATATATATGTATGTGTGTGTATCTCAAAGTTGTCTGCCGGAGATCTCCTTCAGGACAGGATCAGCCTGGTCTGGTCACAAACCAATGTGTATCCCCTTCCCCTGGGCAGTTTGCAGCACCTTAGGCCTTACTCCGGAATGGGCTCTGTACAGGTATCCGCTCACAAGGAGCCAAAAAGAGGGAAGCCCATAGTGCAGTATTTCCAAACAATGTTTATTGAATGCAAACTAGTAGACAACCAAGATAAAACACTGACCATATGAGATGCTGAGATGGCCACCGGACCTCCATGTGGTCGCGGCGGCATGACGTCACTGCGCACGACTCCTCCTCGATGCGTT